ATCTCCACAAAACCATATAAGGCCTTTTTTGCATGGTCGTTTGCTGCTTGGCGTCAACCCGGCTTGTGTGATACATGTTCAACGCAGGCATGATCGGAATTGACGCGGTGGCAGTAATTCAATTTTTCTGAAACTCTAGCAACATAAAAAAACTGCCAAAAACGCAGTGTGCGCCTAAACCAAAACAGGGCACCTTGGCCTCCTCCTCCACCTACTGCTGCTATTATTGCGGCCACTGCTGCTACTACTGCTACTACTACTACTGCTACTACTACTACTACTACTACTACGACTACTACTACTACTACTACTACTACTACTGTTTTTTCCTACTTCTACCTTTACAATGATCACAACTTCGACCTCAGAGACCTGCTTCAAGAAGACGACCCATTGGGAGCTTGTTTTGCAATACCCAGCACTAAGGAAAATACTCAATGGTTGACATGCCCAAATCGTAGTTTCACACATCCATGCCTCAGCAAAGGCTTGTCGCTGTGATCTTAGTATTGTTGGTACCCTTAGGGCTTAACACCGTTCCCAAGTTGGATCCAGCACAGGTCGAGCAACACATGAGTGGGTAATTGTTCATGCGGCTTCCGGCACTGTTAAGTTCAGTAAGCAACAGAGCTGCGAGCATAAGCGAGCCCCTGGGGGGAAATCCATTCTAGGATTTGCAGGGGCCTTTCCCAACCTCGGACCATGGGATCCTCATGACAACTTCCCCTGAAAATTTGCACCACACAGGACCCAAAAAGCTGAACAAAAACATTGGGTCTGAAATATGCCTGATGGTGCAAAATTATTTGCATGCACGGTATCATTTTGGGAAACACCATGAGCCCCCTTCCTGTCCGAAGCTTATGAATTCTCAGCACGAGATCTTACACAGAGGTTTTTCAAAGTTGCGAGTCCAGTCTTGAATATTGCTTTAAGAAGGAAATAGACGGATGATCCCGTTTGGGGATCTCTTAACAGCTAAGGTCACTGGGGACCAATCTTTGTGCATCCGCCACACCGCTTCTGAATCATACTGTATCGATGTCGAAACAAATAAACTTACACTTAGCTTTGGTAGGACTGCACGACGCACTTCAAACCCAATATGCGATCCGATGCACTATTCATCCTCATTCGAATTCCTGCCATTCAGGGGTACTTCCAACAACTGGGGTCCCCCTTCTTAAAGACTTGCTAAATGAGGGTTCGGAAAAATTAGAAAGCCCTGAGGGTCCAAGTATATAATTATCATATACCTACCCAAAACTTGCACTATAATTACAATATATCACTATTACCCTAAACCCAAGTACCTCATCATTGGGTACTTGGACCCTAAACCCTATATGGTAGTTTCCCCATATAGACGCCAAAATTACAGAGACATCCAAAACGGTACCCATAATTTTGAGAAACCCCCATATACCGCTTTTAAAGGGCACCTAGATATGGGTACTGGGACCCGCGGGGAAACTCTCAAGAGAGCCTCACCTTGCAGGTGATCGAAGTTTCGAGTACCCCTGCTGTGAATGGATTTAGGGTTTACCTACACCCCAAAATTATGTAAAACAACGGCCTTGCGGGCTGGTTGTAGGACCTTTTGGGCTATGATTTTACCTACTTTTGAGGTCCAGGTAGGGTTTAGGGTTCAACTTGATCTACCCGTGACAATGAAGCGCAAGAAGCCTCAGTAAACGTAGATTTTCAGAAGCTTAACAAGATCCTACTCGTGCGTATCAATCAACCACTTTGAGGTGGGCATCTGCCAGTGCTTACCAAAACCTTTCAGGGACCAAGGCACTCAAAACAAAATCCCATAAACTCATGAGCCTGACGCAATCCTGTTGTTTCTTCGCCGCTGCCCAGGTCTCAATCCAACACCCTGCGCCATGCCAAGAAACTAGTCCCTGCAAAGCATCCTGGTCACACAGCCCACTACTCCGCGAGCCTTATTTCCCTGGAGCCTTATTTCCCTGTTCCCAAAGCGTCGTCAATCCTATTTTGGGCAAGTCGGTTGGAGGCGCAAACTGTCAGCACTCTAGTTCTATTGAAATTGCCTACTAAGCGCGCGCCTGATCATCGACAGAGGTGTCTTCACCAACAGCTTGAAGGGCATAGTTCTCGAGCTTGCGCCTGCAGAACGCAAACTCTTACCTTCCCCTGAAAAGCCGCGGAAAACTACATAGACTTCTCCGCTTGGGACTAAGCCCTAAACTCTAAACCTGTAACAATAAGCCCTGCCCTGAACCCTACCTGGACTCTACCATGAAACAGTGGACATGGCCTTCACATTCTGGGTTCCGTTGAGCATTGTGGCAGGGCTGATTCATTGCAATGGAAATCGGTAGCTGTTGCTTCCCGGCAGTCTGCTGGGACCCGCGCCCACCCCCCCCCCCCCAGCGGTTCAAAACATGAAACGAGAACCAGCAAGCAATCTAAACCTTCCGTAGTTCGCTGGACACCCCAATACCATTATCACTGGTGTTTCTCTGTAATCGCCAACAATTCATATCGAATTCTGAACTGTTCAGCATGAGAACCGAATGAATCCCCAGCCAAGCCTATCCAGTACTTACAATGTCTACATTGAACCTCAATGAATCCCTATCAACTTCCTACAATTGAACACAGATAAACCCAATGACTCCCTAGATCATCTCTATATACTTCTTTCGTGATTATCCCCATCTTGCTCCCTCCTTATTCAACACTCCCACCCCCAGAGGCTGCATTACACCGATTTTTGGCAGCGGGCTGCAGAGGTTTGGTATAAGGTTTATGGTTTAGGTAGGAATCAACCTGTTTTTGCACCTTCCAGCGGGAGGATGAGGAAACGGTGGCGACTCTACTACTCGACAAGACGAGGGATGCATCCTGGCGCACAGCCCTATCCTTTTTCCTCCAATATCTCCAATCTCCAACCGCACCCCCCTTCACCTGGAAGTCTGATTCGCCTTATGCGGCGCCTTTCCTTTGGGAAAATGTCAACACTGAAATTCCAAGATGTGATTCTCACCCGACTCCCTAATGCCCCCAAATTCTGTAGACATTCTTCCCGAATCTCGGGCTCCCAATCCCCAAGCCATGCCAAGCCCAAATCACAAATCTGAATCCATATGGGAACTATGAGGTTCTACAGGGATGGATCCATATACATATATAGTACTATGTAGGGGAAAAGAATAGAGTGAACAGAAACTACCATACTATTGACCTGACATGCAAGCCTATCATCCATTGACCCAACACCCCGAACACTTGTAAAGCCTGAACCCCATAAATCAAATCCCTGACGCCGCAGAGACTTCCCCAAGGCCAATGCACCCACGACCCACCGAAGCTCCATATCAGCCACCTATACCTGCAGTGGAGGCCTCTCGTCTGGATATTTCTGGATCGCCTGTAGGGGTCAGCAAGCGTAGTTGGGGGCCAATGGCTTGCTAGAACAGAAATGTGAAAGCAATGGTCGCCAGCAGCTTGCCGGGCCGAAAAGTTCACTCAGAGAGAGGAGGTTTAAGGTTTAGGCCTTGAGGGCTCGGGTCTAAAGTGATGGCAAGGCACGCGGGGAGGGAAGTGGGGCCGATGGCCCTGGCTAAAGGTTAACCTATACAAGCCCAAGATACGCACATAACACTGCCTATATATGGTAAACCTTGACCCTAAAACGCTACGGTTACATGCCACTGCGAACAAACGACGAACGTGACGACTGCGACGACGACGACGACACGACAACACAACGACACGACGACAGCACCCACACCGTCATCCCCGAGACACAGGAGCTACGGTGGAGGATGAGGGGAGGAGCGAGAGGAGGAGGCGGTTCAGGAGTCTTTCAAACGTTCCAGCCTTTATGGCCAAGAGTATGAGTGACGATGCTTTAGGCTAGTGAAGGCAACTTTCTTTTCCAGGTGAGAATGATGATGGGCAGTCAAGATGAAGACCCATGTTTGTACCTTAAACTACTAAGCCAAGCGCTATACCTTCAAGAGTATCCCAAGAAGCGGCTACGATTTGACCGTTGCCCAGAGTGGTTCATCACTGGCCCAACGACCTCTAGGAAGGCAGAACGGGGTATCTCCAGGGTGAAGACAAAGGTCTGCGCCCGGACCTGGTCAGTTTGTACAGTAGACTCAGTAGATGATTACAGGAGCACATCAGCAGAACAGCTTCGTAGCTAGAATTTGAAGGATATTGCAATCAACCCCACCTGTCCATGCGTGCTTGCATAAATTAAATCGCTCGGGTTTTGCGCGAAGGGCTTGGGTTCTAAGTTCTAAGCTTGAGGTCTCTCAGTCGTCGGGATCAGGAGTCGGAGTAACTACCTAGGCGTCTCCATGCGTGCTTACAGATTTAATCCGGGTTTAGCGTGAAGGGCTTGGGGTCTGAGCTTGGCGTCTCTGGGTCGTTGGGATCAGGATTGACAGGTCGGGAAGTAGGGTTTGACCTTAGGATCCGAACTTTGAGTCTAGGGTTTTTGGAATAGGAAATTGGGTGGGCAAAGCCCGGAGCTTCCCCGAATACAAGCCTGCAGGCATGTACCGTATGTGTTGCTGTTGCTGGTGTCTTCATCGGCATCGTCGTCGTCGTCGTAATAGCAGCAGTAGTAGCAGCAGCGGTACTGGTGGTGGTAGTCGAGGTAGTAGTAGTAGTAGTAGTAGTAGTAGTAGCAGTAGCAGTAGCAGTAGCGGTAGCAGTAGCAGTAGCAGTAGCAGTAACAGTAGCAGTAGCAGTAGTTGTTGTTGTTGTTGTTGCTGCTGCTGCTGCTATTGCTGCTGCTGCTGCTGCTGCTGCTGCTGCTGCTGTTGTTGTTGCTGCTGCTGCTGCTGGTGGCGGCGGCGGCGGCGGTGGTGGTGGTGGTGAAGGTCGTGCTGTGGAGATGGTGCTGGTGGAGGTCGTGCTGGTGCAGATTGTGCTGGTGCTGGGGGGAGGGGGGGGGGGTGGTGCCAAAAAACACTCATGCTGACTCTAGACCACGGAATACTTGCCAGCACTGCCCTTCTCGATGCTTTTCAGCGCATACGTGCTTCCGGTTTCCTTGGGTCGAGTTGAAATAGTTGACAATTGCAGCCCTCACGGGAAACATATGACAGCGACCGACAGCATTGGGATGCGCAAAGGCCAGCCATTTCATAAGCCAAGATTCGGAGTTTTGCCAGAGCTCCACTTTGGAGAAGCCGCCCACACCGAGTAAGCCCACATATACTAGATCCTGGAAAGGCTCTTCTCTGGTCAACAAGGACGGTTGCAGACATGTGGGGGCAGCTCTTGAGCTCTTGAGACTGCGGTTTAGGACAGCACTGTGTTCGTGCAGGCAATGTCATTTGCTGCTTTCAGAAATGCACTCGTTCACCGCGTAGCAATTAAACACCCTTGCCAAACCCCAGAATGACTCCGGCACGTCGCTGCATCCTGCTTGTAGATTTTCACCCGGTCCGGACTCAGCGCGGCTCCCCTTTGAGCTTGCCTCTGCAGTAACGGATGCAGAAGACACATGCAAATAAGGGAACTTCCAGCGAAAAGAGAATTACAACTGACAAGGCCCCAGGATGTAGACTTGGCAAACAGGAGGAGCAAGTGGATTTGAGAGATAGGGATAGATAGGGATCAGCGCCCGAATCTGTCTTCACTTGCATGCGCGCTGGTAAGTTGCTTGTGATTCGCAAGTCAGTTGTTGGAGAGACCGAACACTCTACTAATGGAGATGGCCCAACCCCCAAAATTGCGGACGGCCACCCCTGCAAGCTGCAAAAACATTGGGCAGCTTCTCCTGCTAGTCCCATTCTTGGTGGATTCAAAACCAGACTCCACTGCTAGAGCACTGCAAACAAAGCCTTGCTTAACCCACTCCAAAGGAAACTAATTCGAAGTCTTGTTGCTGAAAATTCGAAACGACATCCTGCTGCCAAAGCACGTCTAAACTCCAAATGTACAGCCAAAAATGGTACATTCAAGGATGCAGACTTGAACCTGTTATGAAGAGGAAAACAACATACCTGCATATGGCACAACCTTCTGGTCTTGCCTGGACACACATTCCATTCATGTCCTGACCTGATGTACGTCTTGCCATGAACATGAAAAATCCCAAGAAGTGGCTCAAAGCGACTTCTGGCTCTCAGTAGAATGAATGCTGATTGAATGATGACCGGGCGTCTGAAGAAGCGAAGGAGGCTAGTGGTGATCTGAAACTAGTACTGGCAAGCAGCTGACAAGTCGGCTGTACAATAGAATGACCTGGTGAAAGCTACCGGTCAAAAGGTAGCTTAATGCATGTACCCCAACAGGGAGGACGGACTAGTGAACATTCGATATTCATGTTTGCAAGAAACTCCAAGCTTTGCTGCTTCGACTTCTGTTTTTAATCCGCGGTCAAACCTGATTGTCAACTACAAAATTTGCCTGAGCGCTCATATAGGGGTTATATGGGGGATATATTGGCGATACGTTGGGATAATGGAAAACAACATGGAAACGACTATACGATTTAGGGTTTAGGGTCTAAAGTTCAGGGCTTAGGATGTTTCAATTGGGGCTTGGCGCTTGGGGCTTCTTAGGGCTTAGGTGTTAAGGCCTAAGGTTCTAAGCTCTGTTTGAGCGCTCTTTTAAACCCCTGGCAGATGCCCAAAGCCAACAGGGCGAGCCCCTAGGCACTTCCGAAAAGATTCAAGGCGTTGGGCTTAGGCTCGGGACACAACTCAGTAGGCTCCTAGCGTTACCTTAGGTTAAATAAGGGCTAGACGGGGGTAAGTAAGTATCATGTGGATACATAGGGTTTAGGGATTCAGGCTAGCAAACACATGTATTCTGTTTGAGATTCTTCAGGAACCCCCTGACCCCACAAAAGGTAAGATTTCCTACAATGTCGATCGAGAGGACTGATAGGCCCAGGGTTGCAGGGTGACCTTAATGTTTGGGCTTCGGGGCCTCTGGCCAATGACCTGACCTGAGGCTGTGACATCTCTTCGTGTTGGCTGAAGCGATCTGCTGCTTGCCTCCTTGACTTCTGACTCTCGATGATTTCCTGGCTGAAAGCGCAATTGGTAACTGGAGGAGCGGCTGTCTCAAAATCTGAAGAAGCATGTAAACCCATGGCTGATGCATCCCCAGCCAAGGCTTAAAGATGCTCCGAACCTTCAACAGGCGAATGTATTGGAAGTGAACCCGGCGCCCAAACGCTCAGAAGACTGCACTGCTAATTTGCATACTGCACGTCTCGGGAGTCTGTGCCTTCAGCGGTCCCAACAAGTTTTGGAAAGCGTCACGATCCAGAACCAAACATCGCACAGATGCTGACGTGACCTGACAGGGCGGGTAAAGAACATTCACGCCCAAAAGACATGTCTGAAATTCTATGCAACTATGCATGACAAGAACGAGGTACCAGGCACTGAACAGGAGGGACTTGGAAGGTGAGAATATTGAGCAGTTTCGAAACTTGTTTGTTTGCAGCGCACTCTGCCTGTGCAATGCATTGCTTTAGGAACATCAGCAACCTCTCTTGCCCTTCAGTTCTCGTGGAACAAGTAAAATGACGGAAGTGCTCTCTACAATCATTCCTCAGAAGGGCACCTTCATGAGCAGGGAAATTATGAACAGAAGATCCTGACAGGAATGTGCAACCCATGTCCAGGTTTCTAAGAATGCCAGTCATTAACTCTCCTAGGCTTGTGGCCTTATGCCGTGGTTTGCAGACGAAAGTTTCAAGACCAGTTGTCTTGCGTCTTCAGGCGGTCTTACTTGTTTCGGTCGTCACTGAAAGAACTGCAGAGCTCCCATGTGAGGGAAGACCTAGGCCAAGGCTACCTAAGCCAGGCAAACCCTCAAAAAACAAAACCAGCCATCCAGATGTGATTCTCTCTTGGCAGCTTTGTAAAGACGGTGATCATGATGACCATCATGGTCCAAACTTTGTTGGGTTTCTGGCGTGGGATCCATACAACAAGCTCTAAGATACCTGCCAGCAGCGTTTGGGATGCTTGGGACCCGTACAGATGGCAGATGGCTGTGGGACCCTTACAAATAGCTGGCAGCTTGGAATCCATGCAAACTCCCGTTGGATCCATACAACTGGTCGGGATCCGTGTGGATGGGCTCGCAATGCAGAAAATTTGTTGAGAGGGGGCTAGGGCGCATCTCCTGGTTGCAAATGCAATCTCCTGGTTGTAAATTCTACCTTCGTGGGGCCTTTCCATTGAAAATTGAATTGTCTTAAAATAGCCGTTTTATGATTGAGCCAAACACGAACAAATCCTGTACGAGCCATATGAAAAAACACAAATATTAATCCTCCCCCATATGGGGCTCAAGTCTCCTTTGAAGATACTGCTCGGCCTTGACAGTGGCAGTCCGCTTCTCATCCGCCAGCCTGCTATGGCCAATAGCTGCGAAGTCAGAGTTTAGGTCTATGAGTTTTTCACAATTAGGGCACCATACAATCAATGGGGTAGATGGGCAGTATAAAGTGATTAGGAAGGTCCCCGTTCACGATTGTGTGGCGGTGGTTAAGCTTAGGCTACTGAGGACTGGATGTTATTTGGGAATCGAAACAGGAGATCTCGCTTCCACTAATGGAGGAAGTTGGCACAGGCCATGAACTGTGCTTCAGACTGTTTCTATCGTACGCCTCACTGGTGGGAGAGCCCCCCATCAACGGTACAGTACCATTCCTCTCCATTCAACCGCGTGGCAGGGCAAACTCCCCGAAGTACTGGGTGGTTTTGCGCGCGATGCTGGCCTGCCACAGGGCAGACTTGCAAGTCTCCAAGTTTCTAAACAGGCTACATAGATTTCACTATTTGATCAATGTCAGTATGGCAGGAAGACTAGTACTTGGTCACAGCTATCATTTGAAGCAGTGGACACAGTTGCACAGGCTCCTCTAAGGTAGTGATCTTCATTTCGTCCTTGCTGCACAGACAATGCGAATTCGAAACACTGCTTCCTGCCGAAGGTGGCAGAACAAGGTTTTGCGTGTAAATGCCGGTAAGTAAGTTACAACTACTTGCAACTCACGTGATTGCAAACGAATGCATTTTTTCAGGGCGACAAGACCAAGAACTCTCCAAATCAGCCGTCCTTGTACACATCGACCGAGCCGGAAAACATTATGTAGAACGTTGCTCCAGTCTGCCCCTGCGTGATGACTTGCTCACCTGAAGCATGGCATATTGCAGATTCCGCTTCAAAGAGTAAACGCTCAAGTGATCTCGAAGGCTTGACAAGCATGTGCTTGCCATGCTGTAAGCAATGACAAACCTTCCTGCCTTCATAGAAGTGCATCTCGACCAGAGCCTGCAAATCATTTGAACTCCACTGTTCTCTACTTCTATAATTGGAATTCTGAATGCAAAGCTCTGACTTCGCTTGCCACAACAGTGCCCGCCTCTCCTTTTTGTATTACTTTGCAATGCGCTGCTGCAAACCTTCCTGTCGAGGCCTCACTACATATTGGCCCTGTGCTTCCTACAATACCTGCTGGGCCTGTTTGATGTCGGGTGATTTCGCTTCACCCAGCAACATGACATGTCTTCGCGTGGGACATCTGCTGGTTGCCTTTGCAAGTACGCATACCCCTTAAAGAGCTAATTCGTCAAAATTCGGACTGTTCTCTAACTCAACCTAGTAAGAGCCTGAGACTGCAGTTGCTACCAATTGACGCTCCAGACAAGCAATTCGAAACTTCAAGTTGATTCAACTCATCAGAAGTTGACAGTGCCTCCGCCAATTCCAGGCGTTCTTCCTTGAGCAGCGCTGACCTTGGCAATCAACGACCGCCTCAAGCTTCGTACCCGGCCTTACCAAAAAATTGAACACATGCTGAGCTTGCAGCAGCAGTGGAACCGCATCCAGGTATCCTGCAACCAGTGATTCAAAAGCTGCCTCTTCTGGACATAGGACTCTTCTCAGAAAACTCCTCTGTACTCCTCAATTTTCTTGGCACTGGCCTGCAGGTCGAAGCATGCTTGCCAACATTGCAAATGGAAGACATGGGAAGAGGGAGCGAGGGATGGAGGAACGGAGAGGGAAACCGTCCTCGTCCCGCACAGAAATTTTGTCAGCATCTGCTAACAAGGACCCGACATGGCAGCTACCAATTCTTGCGCAGTAAGGTCATTCTAGGCTTACAACCATGGAACAGCCTTGAGGAGCACTTCCTTGAAGTGGGCGCGGTCGATGACCTCGGTTGAGACGGTCATCTTTGAAAGCCTGCATCGCTCTATGCAGTTCAGAGTGCCGAGGCTATCTTTGACTGGGGGCACAGAAGCCGGTGGTCCTGGACAAATCCCTCTTGACTGCAAACTATTAGGATGAGGAATCCAGGCTCCATAGCTCCCGCCCAAATTTAATGTGAGGGAAAAGGGATTGTCGGAAGGTGTCTCAGATCCTGGCCCAGAGCACAGAATTGGTCAGGGCCTTCATAAAAACAGTGGCTGAGCATCACCGTTCTATGCAAGTCCGCTGAACCAGGCGCTCCACCCTCACTGAAGCGGCTCTCGGTGCACTGTACAACCTCCGTCGGACATTCAATGTCAACGCAACCTTAAGAAGCACCAGCAATGTTAAAGCAACTCCAAGATCTACAAACAAGGATTATCCCTCAAGATCTCCTGACGAGAGGAAGCCTGCCCAGCGTGGCTGCCCGAATAATTGTTGCGGCAAAAGGAACGACGCCGAGCATGATAACAATCATCTGGAAATCACCAGCTCCATCATCAGCACATAGCTTGACAAATAGCTACTTTTAGCAAGATAACGGCTAAAAGAGACGCAAAACTACAACGTGATTGAAATCTTGGACTAGGCAAAAGCTCTTGTAAAACGCGAATGAGGCGAATAGAAGCCATCAGGTAAACTACCACAAGCCCAAATCCAAAATGCACGTCACAAGCTGGGCCCGCAAAAACTAAGTAAAGCTGATTTGGGTAGATGAGGGAAAAATGTTTCCACCAGCACCACTGCCGATCCGCAAGTGTGCCTGCATGGCACTGCTCACCAGCGCACATGCATGCTGACCGAATTGCGCACATGCAGCTTTGCTGTAGTTGTTTCCTCCCCCATGCTGGACCCTTTTTCCAAGCTCTTTAAACCATTTCCCGGCCCTGGGTCGGGATGGTAGAATTTGAAATGAAAAATCACAAAAAAAATCTGAACGGAAGCTGACAAAAAGGAAAGGAGCCGAAGACCATTGCAAAACAACTGTCAGAAAAAATCGAACAGCAGAATCAGAAGAAAACTCTGCGGACAGAAAGGTAGCAAAACCCGTATCCGCCGAGGCCGGAGGCCTCTGTCGTTTAGATCCGAGAGCCAGAGACTAGGAGTAGTTTAACCCACCCCCTCCCCCCTTCTCAGGGCGGCGGGTGTAAATGGCTCCGATTTTGTCGGTTTCCAGGAGGGTGGAGGGTGGAGCGTGGTTTCTTGAAGTCAAACTTCGGGGTCCTGGGCCTGGCTCCACGCTGCCCCTTCGCGACTGCCACAACTAGCCTCGACTACCTTTGCCGAGGCGGTCTCGCGTTAGCGATAAAATTTCATCAGCTGGGCTGGAAACTGAACTGAAAAAAACTGTGCTGGTGAGCGGCGCTCCTGGTAAAGCCAGCATGTTCTTCCTAAATGCCCTGTGGAAGCTGGGTCTGTCATGCTAGATGGACCCAGGGATCAAGCAAGAACCGCAGGCTTCTGCAAGCTGCTTGCCCCCTCTCTGACACTTTGCTGCCAGCTTTGCAGCGATCTGGACTTTACCCAATTTGTTGCATCCCTCCCAAAGCCCGCACTAGGCAAGTCAGGATCTTATCCTATGCTTATCATCATTCCTTGTCAAAGCTCGCAAGACATGCTGCCCCAATGAGCATGACAAGAATGACAAGATTACACTTACTCATCAGATCTGCCCGGCCGAGCAGCAGGGCCAGCTCCCCAAAACTCTGGCCTTGGCACACGGAATCATGTCACGGGGTTTTGGTTGTTGAAGGGCCCGGATCTGTGGTCCTTACAGGGGGAGGGGGAAGGCCACTCCGACCCTCAAGCACCAGTAAAGGAGGAAAGCTATGTCAGGCTGTTGAGGCACGGCACTCTGGCCTTGGTAAATTTGAGGCTTGCAGAGTGGATCTGGCTTGCAGAGTTTGAGTGTGGGGCTTGGGGTCAAATCTAGGATCTGCGCCAGGTCTTATGGGGGCTTCGCTCGTGTTTACATTGAGTTCCCCTATCTCTGGGCAATTCCTGAGAGCCGATTAAGTTTGGCCTTCTGACAGAACTGGATGCCCAGCGAGAGCCTGAAAAACTCATCGTACACAAACACTGCACTACGGATTACAAAGGTGTGGGGCACAGTGTTCTCCGTAGCTTCCCTTAACCCCGAATACAATAGCTAAGTTTTGCTTGAGGTCCTGATGCAGCCTCCATCACACATGCTGACCCTACACATGTGTATGGCGGACCTTGTCTCCCGGCCACATTGCAGGCAGAGATTCCGAGCAGCACTGAGCTGCATCGGGGATCACGGTTAACATTTTTGAAACCAATCAAGCCTCATTTGTCCAATTCATTCCAGAGGGCAGACACCAGCAGCAGATGGAGGAGATTTCGTCCAAGAAATGACTCAGATCAAATGTAGCGGTTGATCAACTGTTCCAAGTACTCCTGCTTACCACTCGCAGTGGCTGGTTCGGCAGTCTTCAGCGCATAGGCCTCGATCTCCTCCAAAGTTGCCTTCCCTTCCTCCACCTGGCCGGCATCCATCGGCATCCGTTCTGCTGTACTAGACTCAAACGGCTGCAAAACGCTAAAAAAATGCCATAATTCTTTCAACCGCTCTCACCTTCTTTGCAAGGGGGTTGCTGGACCAAGACGAATACCTGCGAGCAACACCAGTTTCTGCTGCTCACTCGCGCATGTTGCGCCAACTCTTCCATTGCCTCGTGTCGAGCGCCTTCTGCATCAAGTTCTCTTGGACGAGCTTGCATGCACCAATCAGCCCTCGTGCCAGGCAATCCATTCCTGGCATCAACTCAATGCCCCGATGCAAACAGCTACGCCCCTGAAACGTGTGCATGCGCACCGTGCCTCCTATGTGGGCAATGAACATATCCTCGATGTCTGTGCTCTCCCGACGCAGCTTGCAGTCAAAATTGTTGCCGCCTGGCGCTATGCCACCTTGCTGCACCACGATTAGCATGCTGAGCAGCGCCTTCCTGCAGAGCAAGAACCCCCTTGTCCAATAGGATTTATCAGGCTATATAAGGGTCCTTATTTCAAATGATAAAGGAAATCCATTGACAACCCCCCAATCAAAATCTCAATGTTCCGGCATGCAAGAACTGATGCACTTGCGGCACTTGAAAGTTTATCTCAATGTCGGACGTTTTCTGAGTCATGTCAGAGCGCCCCCAAAGGGGTCAATTCCCCGTAACAGAGGAAGGGAGCCTATGCTCATGGCTGACCGCCACGCAGGAAGCGCCTTTCCCGATTTCAAGGCAGGATGGCAAAGATCAGGATGAGCAGGGAAGGCTGAGGGAGGGCTAGAAACAGCCACGCCAATAAGGCCAAGCTTGAAGGGCCAATGCCCGCAGTTTTTCAGTAGTCCTTTTGAGAATTGAAGCTCGGACAACTGCGCAACCCCTTCACAGATATTCTTTGTGCTGTTTTCTGAGGGCTCCAAGGACCTCGAAAGCGCATCTGCCAGATTGTTAGTCTGACGGAACGCATGTGCGGGCCCTCCACGGTGCCCACTGTACCTGGAGTCACTTGAGACAGGAGGTCACCGACAGCAAAGCTTTGAAAGTACTTGTGCAAAGCGGTCACCACGAAGGGATCTGTAAGCAAGATCGATTCTTGAGCTCCGGCTCTTTGCCCTGATTTACTAAGAGGTAAAGTCCATGTTCTGGATGTCCTGGACAGCACAAAGTCCTCTTTTCGTGCAGCAAAAAGTTCATCACTACGGCCAAAAGTGTGAACCCCAGAATGAGCAAGACAGCTGTGCCAGGCCATCCTGCATCTTTAGCTGATTGTGCGAATGCGCAAAAAATCAAAGCAGTGAACGGAGGCGCTCGATAGGGAAGTTCTGCACGAGTCCAGGCCGCGCGCATACGCCAACTACCACTTTGCCCTCCGGAGATGGAAGGAGGGAAATAGAACTCTTATTTCCATTTGCTTTCCGGAGATGGGAGAAGGGAAATACGACCCTTATTTCCCTTAGTTTTCCGGGACCCAAAAAACAAGACCAAAACCAGGGCTTAATCTCGGGACTTCGAAGCTTTGAAGGGTCCTCATTTCCTGTAAGAAAAGCCAAGACGCGCAGACATATTTACATATACATGTATATACATATTATATATGTATATATATATATACACATGTATGTATTTATGTATGTATGTATGTATGTATGCATGTATGTATGTGTCTAAAATGCTTCACAGGACGCTCCGCACGGGAGCACGATTTGCTTCAAAATTTTCAGGACGCTCCGCACGGGAGCGTGATGTGCGTCAAAATTTTCAGGACGCTCCGCACGGGAGCACGATTTTTCTCGAAATTTTCAAGACCCTCCGCACGGGAGCGCGATTTTTCTCAAAATATTTCAAGACACTCCGCACGAGAGCGCGATTTTTCTCAAAATGTTCATGAAGCTCCGCACGGGAACGCGATTTTCGTCAAAATTTTCAAGACGCTCCGCATGGGAGCGCGATTTTTCTCAAAGTTTTCAGAACGCTCCGCACAGGAGCGCGATTTTGGTCAAAAGAGAACGATCTTGAGCGGATCAGTTTGGTATAGAATTGGTATAGAACTTATTCCTTAAACGATCAAAATTCGAACAACGAATCCGACGAATCCTATACCAAACCTATACCAAAACGACCCCCCAAGAACCTCCCTCTTGAGAAGATAAATCGACGAAATTTCGATGACGTCTCGAGCGGGAGCGCGATTTTTGAAGATTTGCATCAACATTTTCAGGACGCTCCGCACGGGAGCGCGATTTTGGTCAAAAGAGAACGATCAATTTCGAGGACGTCTCAAGCGGGAGCGCGATTTTTCAAGATTAAATCATCAAAATTTTCAAGACGCTCCGCACGGGAGCGCGATTCTGGTCAAAAGAGAACGATCTTGAGCGGATCAGTTTGGTATAGAATTGGTATAGAACTTATTCCTTAAACGATCAAAATTCGAACAACGAATCCGACTAATCCTATACCAAACCTATACCAAAACGACCCCCCAAGAACCTCCCTCTTGAGCAGATAAATGGACGAAATTTCGAGGACGTCTTGAGCGGGAGCGCGATTTTTGAAGATTTGCATCAACATCTTGAGGACGCTCCGCACGGGAGCGCGATTTTGGTCAAAAGAGAACGATCAATTTCGAGGACGTCTCAAGCGGGAGCGTGATTTTTCAAGATTAAATCATCAAAATTTTCAAGACGCTCCGCATGGGAGCGCAATTTTGATCGATTTGAACGAAGATAAAATCGAGATGAAATCAACGGAATTTTGAAGACGTCTCGAGCGAGAGCGCGATTTTTGAAGATAGGTTGAAGATACAAAAGATGCTCAGAGGCTCAAAAAAGTCAAACTGTCTCGTGCGAGAGCGCAATTTTTCATTTTTGATGAAGTCAGATAGTCAAAAAAAATACATAATTTTTTGGTGACGTCTCGAGCGAGAGCGCGATTTTTGATGATCTGTTGGAAAGTCAGGGGGTCGTCCAATTCATTTCGACCCCCCCTAGCAAGACTAATTTAAAGGCAATCTGGCCTCTCAGCTGGATCAATCATGGATATAAAAACGTTCATTTTTTGAGGACGTCTCGAGCGAGAGCGCGATTTGTGAAGATACGAAGATGTTCAGAGGCTCACAAAATTCCAACTGTCTCGCGAGAGAGCGCAATTTTGGATATTTCATAAAGTCCGAAAAACGCGATTTTTTGAGGACGTCTCGAGCGAGAGCGCGACTCATTAAAATCAGCCAAAATGTTTGCACGACAGAAGAGCACGCTGAGGGCACCGGGCGACGGCATATCGAAATAATTAGAACCCCACACTAGATGTGGGGAATAACAATAATAGCATTAGCAAAAGAAATAGTAATTTTTACTATCATAATGATAATATCGAACGAAAAATCAAAATTGAGAATTACATGTTGTTACCATCATAACAATAAAAGTGTGCGTAGTCGTAACAATAATCAATGGCAAGGGTCAAACAACTCAAACTCAAGAAGCCAGAAGGAAGCCATTGAAGACAAGAAGCCCAGAAGCTGAGAAGCAATGAAGCCAGCCAAAAAACAAGAAGCCAGAGAAGCCAAAAATCAAGGAAGCGGAGAAGCCCGAGAAGCCAACAAGCCAGAGAGCCAAAAAACCAAGAAGGAAGCCAAAACACACAAACCAAAAAACAACAAAAATACAACTAATCAAAATGTGTTCCTAAAAATAGCTCCATACGAAAAACCGTACTTATAAACCATAAACCTTCGAGTACCCTGAAAGGGCTGGAAATCCTTTGTCGCGGCTTCACTCCTTGGGTCTGATGGGAACTCGTCTGTGTCCCATCCCAGGTAGGGTTGGCCAGCATTGCCTTAGTGCACAGCAAGAATTTCGGAAGCTCGGCTTTTTTAATTTGCTGAGCCAGTCTTTATTGCAACCTGAGCGCAGTCGATCGAACCTAGCATGCCCAGGGCGGAAGCCATTCGCAGGTCGTGCTCCTTGGCAGTGATTTTGGGGTTTAAAGCAGACAGAAGATCCGCGGCGTAGGCACTATCGTTTGGGAAGCTGGTTTCCCCCAGAATCACACATGCGTCATGCTGCAAGGTGTCCCAAAATCTGGCTCCACATGCTAAAGCAAAAGAGACACACGGCAGATGTAGGCTCCCTCAGATTCTGCCACCCTCATTCCTCTGGAGCAAATGGGTACAAGTCAAAGTCCGCCATGATTATAACTTGACTTTTCCTACCTGGGTTGTTGCACAGTTCCAGGGCAGCAAAGCTGCATAGTCGTGGCCCGCCAGCGTCGTATGGTTTGGTTCGATGTTCACCTTGACATCCAGTCAAGTCAAGGTCCCCTTAAAAACAATCATTCATGATGTCTCCAGACCGCAGGACAAGATCACGTTCTTTGTACACTCCCACCTTGAACTCGCTCTGTAGGCCGTGCCTCAATTATTTGGACTGTCAACTTCTTCCACAGTTCTGGGCCGTGTGCAAGCATACACGATTAGTGACCACACTGTGCGCACGCTGCTTGCTGCATGGTCTTTCAATAAGAATTTCCCAGGGCACTGGTATAGAAAGCCGATAACCGTCTGAGCATCGTAGTCGTACTGGTGTGCAGTTGGCTCACGTGCCTGTTATGGGAAGCAACTGGGACAGCTCTGCAGTTCTCATGAGCCCCACGGCCCAGCCTTGTGTTAAGAAATCTTATTAAACAAGAAATTAGACTCTGGGCTCCCCAAAAAGGATTTATTTGAGACTCTGGCTGGCCCCCGATTTTTTTGAGGCCTTTGTCTTTAAGGCTTAGGGTCAAAAGGGTTTAGGGTTTTAGCGTTAGGG